CTGAACTCTTTGTATTCCTTTCTGTTAGCTGTTAGTACAGAAAGAAATTAATCTTTCAGGCTTTTGATTAATCTCTAGAAACACTAATTACTGATCCACTAAAAAAAATAACTAGGTTAAGATGGTCCATATTCTATCAGGCTCTGGCAGAGCAAGAATACACATGGATTGCTCCTAAACAATGGCTCATTCCTTGCATTGTTAATGGAGAATGATGCAAAGGAGATGATGGGGATATCTTTATTTGTTTTGCTTCAATTTCCAGCACTGCTACTTCTTCCCTATGGGAAGGTGTGGGTTAGGTCTAAGGCAGTTCTAAGTGTAAAGTCTGAGAGAATCATCAATGATTAATATTCCAGATCCAAACATAGCAGGGTAGATTGGAGGATTTAAAAAAAGAATAATGGAAAATAAAACGAGCTTAGTACCAATTCAGCAGATACTTATCAAGTGTTCACTTGATTCTGGGAAAGAAATGAAAAAGATGAGGTTCTTGCCTTTGAGTAGCTCACAGTGTGCTAAAGAAACAAAACATGAAAAACAATTATTTCAACAGATTGTAGATAAATGTCCACAAAAGTGAGCACAGTATCAGATGTGGCTGAGATTTTTGCATAGCCTTTGGCTTGGTAATATTCTCAGTTGTATATAGTGGATATAAACCCTAGAGTTAAAACTGTATGTGTCTCTATCTGACCCTCTATTCGTAATCATACAATCAGATGCCCTAGGGAGATCCTATGTTCAGTTGTTAAGGAGATCCTTCAATGTCTCAATATTCTTTTCATTTATTATCACTGTGAAGAGTTTTGGGCTAATTAATTCTTGATTTTATTCAACAATATTTATTTGGCATATAGAGCTATCCCAGGTGCCAGAACTTAACAGTGACTAAGAGCCAGTCCCTGACCTCAAGTTGCTCAAAGTCTGAAAGAATTGAATGGAAATCAGTGAGCAAATAGGCACTTAAAATGCAAGATAATAAGTAGTGTCCTAGAACTATGCAGACAATGGGATGGGAACATGGTGAAGACACCTACATGAGTCTGAAGGAGGGAGGAATAGCTGCTTCTGCCTTTTTGATCCAAAGCTTCTGGGATGAAGCAGGTATATTTCCAAGAAAAGGCATTCCATGGAGATCATTGGCTGTGTAGTGGGCTGGATGTATGAATATGGCATGCACAACCATGCAAGCTTGCCTTGTAACTGAACATACAAATAGAAAGGGAGTAGAAAGTGCACAGTGGTTATCAAGGCCACCTAGATCCTTGTCTTCAAGGAGCCCCTGCGGAGTACTATGAAGGTCAGTGGAATAATCAGATTTTTAAAGAAGAAATAACACTTTACGACAACAGCAAACCCCGGAGTCAGGGATATCAAGATACTGCCTTAGTTATCTAAATAAGATATAAGAGAGGCTCACCCTAGGGCAGTGTAGCAGAAGAGATTGACATGGGGGTGGTGCGATGAGATGTTAGCTGGACTCCAAACTTGAGTGGGTGTGCATGGTTGTCAGAAGGAGAACCTAGAGGCAGGCCTGGATTCTGGTGTGCACTAGTGGGTGAGTAAGTAGAGGTAGAGATGTCATTCAATGAGACCATGAATACAGAGAGGGAAGAGACATGAGGATAATTACTTCAAGTTTTTGCTTTTAGGATATTGAGGTATATGTGAGAGGTGCAGAAGGTGGATTTGTAGAAATAATTGAACATGATCTGCAAGTAGGGACAAGAGATATATGTTGGAGAATTATTGGCATGTAGGTAGCAGATGAAGCCCTGAGTAAGGAGATAGATGAGTAATTGACAAAAAAGACAGGAAAGGTAGTTTGAGGATCTGAATGACTTCATGAGGCTTTACAAGGTGAGATTGCTTTGTCTAAGGAGATTGTCTTTGTAGGACTCAAATTAGAATCATTACATAATCATTTGTGGAACATGTTCTGTCTGGACACAGGAAGACGGTAGTGAAGCAAACAAGCAAAGTTTATCTTTTCCTGTAAGGAGCTTAAAAGCACAGGTGGAAAATATCATGTACTTAGTTATTTTCCACCATAGTAAGTGGAACAAAAGAAAAGTATGTTAGAGTACATTAAATTGGTCTGTGGGGTCAGAGGCAGCCTTAAAGAAGTGACATGTCAGCTCAACCTCAGTGACAAAGGAAGGGATGTAAAGGGTACTTCAAGGGTGAGGGCTTAAGGACCTGGAGGATGCCCTTGTGGTTTGAGGGAGCCAGGGTACTTGAAGCGAGGTGGTAATGGAAGGGACTGTCTCTTCATGAGCCTTACAACGACCATGCTTCCCACCTGTAGGCAGTGCCCTCAAGGCCCTGGGCATGTAAATCCAGGTCTGCTCCACAAGAGAACATTTTCATGAGCAGCAGACCCTCCAGTGAGCAACTCTCTCTTCCTTCATCAGCCACCCAGCCTCAGAGCCTGTTGCAGGGCAGTTATTGACAGTGAGGTGATTTTGTGCACAGTGAAGACAGTGAGAGTTCCCTGGATTTGGAAAGGGGCTGTTTAAGCAGAAAGGAGAAACAGAAAGTGGTTGAGCAGCCAAGAAATCAATCTGTTTTGATCAAAACAGCTCACCTGGGAGTATAACATTTGCGTTCAGCAACAGGGTCAGAACGTGCCCCTTCAGAGCTCAGCAAGCCTAGGAAATAGCTAAAGAGTCAAAATCCGGCCTTGGCATATATTGGCCCTGAGTAGTTCCTTTGTGAGCACAATAAACCAATTGGGGAAATAACCTTAGAAGAAAAGTTGATTGATTTTTTCAAAGAAAGCAAGATCTATGAAAATTTATCTGAAGTCTATTAAAGCCATCCTAAACAGCTTGTAAGAGAAACTAGGTTGTGATTCCATTTTGAAAGAAACTGTTAATTTGTTTCTCTGCATTTTTAAAATCTCTTTTACTGTTGTTCTTGTCAGATTGCTTTATTAAGTGAGAAAATGGCTAATCAAGTGTTCTGATTCATTGTGGTTTCTCTCTTATTGGTGCTGAGTGTATCTTTACATTCCTTTTGGCCTTTAAATACATATTTTGAAGTAATAAGCTGTCTTCTGCAGGGTAATTATTTAAAAATTAAATGTAGGTTCTCCAAGTTTTGTGGCTAACAGAAAATTTAGAAATACCAAAACTTTAATACCTAGCTTTTGCACTTATTAACTGTAGAATCTTTAAGTTTCTATTTTCTCATCTGAACATGGGAATAAACCTACTTCACTTACTGAACTATATGATTTACAAAGTGAATGTGATAGTGCATGAAAGAATGCTTTAAAACTGTGTCATGCCATTCACACAATAAAATTATTCATAAAAACTCAAAGATTTTTATTTATCTGTTCTTCCCTGAACTCTCTTTTCTCTTAATTTTTATATATACACACGTACAAGAATCATACCACAGTCTTGGGAAGGGGTGTCCAACCTCTCCCATTTCCTAGAAAAGAAAAATGTATTTTATAACTGTCAAATGAACTTAAAATCATTCATCTAAATTGTAAAGTATGTATTGCAATTTTTATTTCCTTCAATGACAAGGTAAAAATTATACATGAAGATGTGTGTTAGTCTACAAAGGGTTCTGTAACAATATCAAAGGCAAGGTGTCTTAAACAACAAAAATTAATTTCTCAAAGTTCTGAAGTGTTTTACTTTGTTCAGACTGCTGTAACAAAATACTTTAGAGTGAATAATTTACAAACAACCAACATTTATTTCTTGTAGGTGTAGAGACCACAACATCAAGATCAAGTAAATCCAGTTTCTAGCAAGGGCCTGTTCCTCATAGATGGTATCTTCTGTGACAGAAAGGGACAAACAAGCCTCCTTGGGCTTTTTTGTTAGGGTAGTAATTCCATTCATGAAGCTCTCAGGACCTAATCATCACCAAATGGCCCCATCTCTTCATACTATTGCATCAGGGTTCAGCATATAAATTTGAGGAGGATCCAAATATGAAAACCATAGGATGGAGACCCATAAGTCCAGGGCCAAAGTTCTGGCAGGAGTTAGTTTCTGGTGAGGGCTTTCTTCCTGGCTTTCTCACTGTGTGCTTACATGGCAGAGAGAGATGGAAATGTTTAATGTCTCTTGTAGTTCTTTCAGATCAGGACTCCATATTTATAATCTCATGTAGTCTAAATCACCTCCCTAGAGGAGATATCACCCATATAATCACATTGGTGAGTTAGAGCTTTAATGTAAGAGTTTTGAGCTCATAAAGACATGGACTGAAAGAAGAAAATGAGTGCTAAAAGAATTTGCATGACAAGATCATTGTTCATCAATTAACAAACATCCATGGGCTAACACATAATGGTTATATTGTATTTTATATAAGTTGGATTTATGTTTCAGATCCATTAATACTATATAAACTACTATAGCATATAGAAATCAGAAATCATAGAAATCAGGCCTATTTCTTCACTTCACACCAAAATGAGTTCTTGATAGGGTGTACATGTTCCCCTGCTTTGCAAGATTCATAAGTTAAAACCTAATCCCCAGGACAATGGTGTTAGAAGATGTGACTCTGGGGAAATGATTAGGTTATGAGGGACACATTCTCTTGAAGAGGATGAGTGTCTTTATAAAAAAGATCTCAGAGAGCTAGCTTTCCCCCTCCACCCTGTAAAGACATAGTTAGAAGATGCTGTCCGTGAAGAATGAGCTCTCCTCATAGACCACTGGCGACTTGATGTTGAACTTCCTAGCCTCCCGAATTGTGAGAAACACATTTTGCCTTTAAAAGCCAACAATCTGTTAATTTAATAGCAGGAACTGACTTAAAGAGATGTGCTTCCCTACTATCCTTTCAGAAATGGTTTCATTACTGGTTTGGGGGAATCCTCCCTTTTACTGGTGAACTACACAAAATTTGAATGGAGATATCCTAGTGTACATTCAATCTTCGTGGGGTACACAGAGAAGACCAGCAAGAATGGCTTTTATCTTTTCTGATTGCATCATGCTTTCTTTTTCAAAACTCAGGTAACTGTGACAGATGGTGGCTCTTCTCCAAAACAGTCCACCATTTGGGTAGTGGTTCAGGTTCTGGATGAAAATGACAACAAGCCCCAGTTCCCTGAGAAGGTCTACCAGATCAAGCTACCAGAACGTGATCGAAAGAAAAGGGGAGAGCCCATTTACAGGGCTTTTGCGTTTGACAGAGATGAGGGCCCCAACGCAGAAATCTCGTACAATATCGTGGATGGGAACGATGATGGAAAGTTCTTTATTGACCCAAAAACCGGCATGGTTTCTTCCAGAAAGCAGTTTACAGCAGGGAGTTATGACATCCTAACGGTAAGATCCTCTGAATTCCAGCAATATTAATGCGGGGGCGGGGGGGGGGATACTTTCTTATTCATGTATATTTCTTTGAGCAGGAAATATTTAGAGTAAAACATGCAACCAAGTAGCTGTGGAAAACTTTCAGGAGGAGGCAAGTACAGGTGAGAATTCTTGCCTGTTTTGGTGATATCCTGAAACAATAAGTTTCTTTGGGTTGTTTCATGTCAGTAAGTCCTATTCCAACAGCCTGCTGGAGCCTATATATCCAACCTCAATTCCTGAAATCCTAAATCATTCTCAAGGCACTGGACATAGATCTAAAACTGAGGATAGGGGAACAGCATAGTGACATATTCCACCTGTCACTCCACATGGCACTCAGCGTGCCCCTAAACTTCAAAAGGAAGAAAATTTTGTAATTGTTGACAGTGTGCTAAAACATGAATTTAGCTGTGCAAATTGTGAGACACAAATCACAATAGTGCTTATTTTGAAAAAAAAAAGTTTTTAACTCAAGTAAACAGTGACTAAAGTTTTCATTGATTTAAAAAATTAAACACAAATAAGAGTACCGTTTCAACTAGTAAACTAGTACCCCTAATGTGCTCATTCGCTTCCCCAACCACTTTAGACATGAAATGTTACGCTTGTAGTATAGGTAATTAGTCATCTTTATAAGTGACGGGCATTTTCCAGCATCTCAACAGCTGTCAAGTGTTGGCATCAACCACCAGCCTTCTCTTTGTCCTCACCCTTCTGTGCTGTATATAATGTCCTTTATTATGTTAAGGATGGTATGAGTCCTTTGATTTATCTTTTCATTCCTAGAATTATGTTCTTCTCCCTGCTCAGGAACATAATCCAGGACATTGTAGACAGAGACAAGAAGCTCAGTCATACACCTAATTTGATTCCTTACAGCACAGCCCCAAATCGAACCTCTGTGGTGACACTTGGAAGGCAGTAAGGTTCATTGTGAATCTCTATTCATGTGTGAATGATGTGCATGGAAATGTGCAGTGGGAAGCAGCTTTGTGACACTTGTCTGGACATCTTTGAGGATGGGACGGACTATAGTAGACACTGTTTGTACCCAGCCTGAATCCCCTCTACAAGACTGGTTCATCTATCCTCTCCCTGCTGAGAATGTTGACTACTAAGGGCTTACAGCTGCCCTCTTATCCAGAGGTGATTGTTGGCCCAAGAGATTTTATAATCCCATCCTCAGTCTAGCAGTTCACAAACAAAGACTCATTGACCTGCATTACCTCAGGGTTCATATTACAGATCCAATAATCATGATTCAAAGCTCTCCATGACATCCCAGGGTCAGCTAGGACAATATCCTTGTTTAGGACCTACCCCTGCTCATTTTGATGTTATTTCCTTTCCCTTAAGAGCTCTTCCCTCGGCACAAATTTGTATTCAAAATCTTGCCCTACCCCTAAGGATCCTGACTCAAGAAATGTATCTTTTAGGACTCTCTATCCCATGGGGATTTTGGGGGCAAAATGGTCATCTATGAACATAAGAGTGCTGCAAGTTGCTGCTCTTTTCATAGGCTTTCGTTATTAACTCTGTACCTATAAATTTTATTTTGGAAATACAATATTTTAAAATAATTTTAAAATAATATTTATTTATTTTTAGTTTTAGGTGAGAGTTTTTTGCTCTTTGGACTTTTTGACCTGTCCATTTGAGTCCAGGACACCATATCTCTTCACAATAGCTGGGTGAGGAGACCTGCTTCCCTCAGCCATTATAGAGCCAACTCAAGACCACAAAGAAGTCATTAACACTGTCCTCTCACCATCACATTGCCTGCATGCACCCATGCTGCTACCAAGAGAATTCTCCTTCCTCCCTTCATAGCCAGTGTAACAGTAGAGCCTTGGAGGCAGTTGGCCCAAAGTATTGTCATTCACATGCTTGTACCCATCACCTTCCAGGGAACTATGTAAGTAGGATGCATCGCCAGCATAAAGAAGAAGGAAGGAGCTGCAAAACACACACACACACACACACACACTCACTCACACATATATCACTGACGCATAACTAGGAATTCACAATGTGCCTTACTCCCTTTCAAGTATCACACTGGAAGTGAGGTTCAGAGTCATGCTGTAAGAAATCAAATGAACTATTCCTCTTCACATAAACTATATAATTCATGTGCATAAAACACGACAAATTGGAGGTGCAACATCTGTTTTTCAAGATTTCCATATCACACATGGAGTGAGCCTTACCCCCAACTAGGTTGTGTTCCCATCATTCTACAAGCCAGTCTACCTAAAACTCTACTCTTTTCTTCCCTTTGTCAACACCATGCCAAGCACAGACTCTTGACCCAACACCACATGAGTGACAACCTAAACTTCTACAAAATCAGAGTTCTAAGACATCTTTCTGTGTTCTTTCTGTGTGTGAGTAGATAAAGGCTGTGGACAATGGCCGCCCACAGAAATTCTCCACGGCTCGCCTCCACATTGAATGGATTAAGAAACCACCCCCCTCACCTATACCGTTGACCTTCGATGAGCCATTTTATAACTTCACAGTAATGGAAAGCGATAGAGTAACGGAGATCGTAGGGGTGGTGTCTGTGCAGCCATCTAACACCCCTCTGTGGTTTGACATAGTTGGTAAGTTTAAGTCCTCTAGAGGAGTACTGGGCAATGTAATTAACTGTTTGGAGCAACTAGCCAAAGGGGGGAAAAAGGAAAAGAAAGAAAATGCAAACAAAAATCCTAACAATTACTGCTAAGATTAAAAAATATATAGCTGTAGAATGCAAAAGAGCCAGTAAAATGAATAATTGACCTGTGCTTTCGTTCCAACTCTGTAGCTAAGCTGAACAGAAAGTGCTCTCTGGCTGGATTTTCCATAGTATGTTATTTACTGCAATCTTAATGTCTTTCTGTGTGTCATTTAAATTCTATTGTCACACTTGGCTAATCTCATTTCTAAATGTATTGATGGTACTAGACTTGCTGTCCTTCATTTCTCTCTTTTTCTTCACCTTTTTTCTGCATTCTGTTCTTTTTTTTTTTTTCTGCTCCCGACTGCCCTGCTTCAAGGTGGCAAGCATGCTCGAGAGATGTTCTATATTCTACAGACAGCTTGTGGGCAGAACTGTTCAACAGAAGGTACCCTTAGTGCAAACACATTTGCTAAAATACAGCTATCCAATCTGCCTTTTATGGTTTTTTTTTGAAGCAAATTGAATTACATCTTTCATAACTGCCTGTGACAGGCTGAAGTGCAGCCCACAGATTTCATACATGCCTCTAACAGCTATTGCATTACTCATATCCAATGACTCCTTTGTTTGAGGTTTGGTGGGGTTGGGGTTTGGGGGGGGTTGTTTTGAATTTTTTTCTTTGCTTTTGAGGTACGTGGGCTTTTTGTTGTTTTGTTTTTATCTATTCATAAGTTTGTTTATTTAACTGGGCCTTTCCAATTGGAAAATAAAATAAAATGTATTCCAGCCCCTCTATTTTATAGCAGTGATGCCATTCATAGACCAAAAAGCCCCATCAGAAGAGTCCCCTGGCTGCAGTCCACAAAAGGAAAGACAGGAAATAGAACATAGATATATAGCCAGTAAGCCTCCTGCATAAGTTGAATAGAGAAAGCAGATGGAAGTGTCCAGGATAGACCTTGGGAGCCAACCTTTAAATTCCTTGAAAGAAAGCAAGCAAGTATGTCAGGCTGCAAAAGAAAGGGCTAAATAGCATTGCAGCCCTCCACACACCGGCAGGAACAGGCACTGGAGAGAAAATGAGCACCCAGGAATGGGAAACAAAATAGGCTGTTGCTAAGAGGAGAGAGCAGAGAGTGTGCCTGCCCTGATCTGACACTGGTTGAGCTGAAGCTGACTTCCCACGCTTCTCAGTGGGAGGCAGAGAATCCAGGAGAGAGTTGATCTGGGAGAATCATTTCCTTCTACATGTCACTGCCTGAACACGATGGACAGGAACCTGCCTCTCTTGCAGGATGGCTGGGTCTGGGGAAAGGATTAGGATGTTCCACATCTGTTTTAATGAGACACAGAAAAAGAATGCACCATGGCTCCAAATCAAACCTCAGTAGTCTTCTGAACTCCCAAGAAGAAAGGGCTTTTTTTCCCCTACATATCTTATTTCATGCAATGAGGGTAGAACGTCTTTATTTTACTTAATTGGCATTAATCATACCATCCCCATACATGACCGTTTTGATAAAAAGGTTTCAATTTCTTCTTCATCTCTATTTAACATATTTGAAATAGAACCTCTTTTGTTCCATGGAAGATGTCTCCACTACTTTATCTTCTCAGCAATTTTCACTTTATTACGATATTAGCTAAAGCAGTTTCTTCTTTCTTGGTGCAACAAAGGGTTGCATATATGCCCTAGTTGTCTGCTGTCTGTTGTCTGTGCATCTACCTTTCATGATTCTTTCACTACCACCATAGTGAGAGTCACAGAAAACGCATTTCAGTTTTAAAATATTTGCCTTATGCTAGGTCTCCAGGAATATGTGCAATAATAGTTTTTGATATAGCTCAAAGAGGCGTGCATTAGGAACAAACATGTGCTGTCCTGAGTGATGAGTTGCCCTCTCTCATTATCTACCAATTCATCCTCTTCTTCTTTCACACTCCAGTTTTCACATGCTTTCCCTGCTTGACAGTGCCTGTTATTTCCTAGGCATGATCTATGCATGAACCTCCCTGACCCACAGCACATTCTGCCTGCCACCCACACACCCTGGGATACTCATCCTTGTACTCCACTTCAGAAATCTTATAAGTACATCTCTCTCTAATGCTATCTGACCAGTCACCTGACACTAATTATCCATTTGCAATTCATCAGCATCCCTACATGTCTGTTTGTGTGTAAATAGGCATGCATGCAACCTTACTTGCAAGTTTTTCATGTGAGCATTATTGGTGCTGTTGTATGTTTTCATTTGTTTGTCCTGTCTCCATTCTTAATCCTTAAGGTCAAAGCCAATCCTCCCCTCATTCCTTCCTCCTGCGTACACTTCTGTTGCTAACTCCCAAGAATGAGATGAATAAACTATGATGACTGATGGAGATGCCTCAGGCAGTCGATATGTTTATACTACTGATGGTTCCTAAGACCAATGCAAGATCAGTGTGACCTTCCACTGTACTCCTAGCAATAGCAACCTTAGGAGATTTGACAAAATTAAGACATCACTGATCCAAGAAGAGAGTACTAGCTTATAAAATGAGAGCCTTGATGGAAGAAGCCTTTAGGCCATCCACATGTAAATCCAGAAAGCATTATCCAGGACATGGCATCAGTTTTCCTGTTTCTTCATCTCTCAGTTTTCATGTTTCCTCATCTCTGTGTGTTCTAAATGCTTCACTCTTCTTATACAACCCATAGTCTCTGTGCCCTGAATAGTTCTTGAAACGAATACTTATCGGGTTGTCCCCCTGGTCTGGATGCTTCCACCACAGAAATTTCACTGTAAGTCTGGTAATATCTAACTCCTTTTACAAATTGAGCTTACTGGGCCAGATGCCCAAACCAAACTTGATTTTATTTCCATCTTCACATCCAGCCAACAATATCTTGAAAGGCCAACTCTTTATTTCATTGTAGAAGTGAAATCCTTTCCCTAGGTGCTGGTTGCTTCCAGTACTGATAGGGTAAACATCTATTGTTTTCTTTATCATATACAGGTGTTTCGTTCTTGCTTTCAGGATTTCTTATTTGTCTCCATGGAAACTTTCATCTCTTTCTTTCCTAACTCCTTACTTAAGTATCTTCTTTGACCAAACTAACATAGAGGGGACAGAGAGAGAATAGTGCCACTTAGTGCTTAAGACAGCAGTATACCATAGGCAAATTCAAAGAATAAGCACAAATATAATGTCAGCATAAATCTGAAATGAAGTTTCAGGTTAAAGTTCAGTTCTTGCTTGGGTAAACACTTGACTCAAGAGGAGTCACTATTTGTTCCCTTTATAGGCCTAGCACATTCAGACACCTATATAGACCCTGAGATACAGAGTATACAACATTCTGATCCAGCACTGGTAGTTCACAAATGCTCTAATTAATGAATTCTTTGTAAGTACACAGAAATAGTGCTTCCATGTGCTTTTCCACTGAGAGTATAATCTCCTCTTTTTCCCATTTCCCAGTATACCTGATTATAACTTAATTATATTTTTTCCTCCAACCAATGCTATGAATTCACAAAATCTGTATGGCAAGATTTTGTTCCCAAGCCTTGACCCTTGTACCAGACTCTTTCTCTTGCCTCCAAAGAGATCACTGCTTAGACTATTATGTAGCTAGACTCTCTTTAGCTTCCAGAAACAGAAGTCCTACATATCACTGAGTTAAGAAAGCTGTAATTAAAAGGAAACATAATAAAGTTCAGCTGTTCTGTTTAAACAGCCCAATGCACAGCATGTTCCTTCTCTGTGTTAAGAGGGAAAGAAAATTAAGGGAACAAAAATAACCCATAATCCTTTGTGGCTTTATCACGTATCTTCACACTTCTCAGGAGACTGATTTCAACTCAGCAGCTCCTTGATTTACATACTCTCCAATGTGCATGCAATCTGGTTCACAATTCAGTCCCTGAATCTTTATCCTGATGGCAAATATTTAAATTGTAAAGACCACCATTATTGCACAATTTAAACAATTCTTCCATATCCACAATTTGATACGGGATGCTGCCATACATTTCTAGCTTCTCACCCAAATTAGAATAGAAAAAAATGTTTTTCCTTGTAGGTAACAAGTAACTAAAATATCTGTATTTCTCAGCTATTGTATAAAGAGGCAAAAAGCTATTCTTTGAGAATAATTTTCAGATGGTTATTGCTAAGACATAGGAATATCTTACTGTGTTGAAAATACTTAAGGCCATCTTGACCCTCTCGGTTCATTATATGTTCTTGCAAACTTTGAACGTCCAGCCATTCCTATCTCATAAGCTTTTGCCTGCCTTCTTGAGTCCCATCTGCTGTGGAGCCATGGCTTATTTAGAATTGGGTCAAGTAGGCAAGTTAAACTCTGATAGTGGCCTTATTCTCTGACTAGAGCTTGGACATCTATGGATCTTTCCTAACAAGTGACCATATTTCTTCATCACGAAACTCTCACTTGCCTCTTCGGAGAAGCTATGTTCGTTTCTAAGACAGCTGTTCCTCCATCAAAGTGACTTTTGCTCAGAGTTATTCAACTAATATCTAGCACTTCATTTCTCTTACTCAGCCCTTTTTTCCATAATGTGATCCTATATAGGCCTTTCTTCTCTCCATAGCAACAATCTCACCTGTAGAAGCACATGTGAAAAAACTTAAGAAAAATAGCTAAAATTGCAGAAACACTTCATACATTAATTGTGTTAAGAAATTGAATGCTAAACCAGATTCTAAAGGAGATTTTCGTTTCTACAGTGTTTCCTGACTTCCACTGGGTGTCAGGAAGCTTTCCATAGAAATAGCTTTTTCAGCCCAGTACTATGCTTGCTTCATTCCAAGGCAGAAAATTATTCATGACCACACCATAGCTGATGTTTAACATTTCTTCTGAAGCTTGGTGTACATGCTGAGCTTGAAAGAACAGCTTGTGTATGACTCCCTTAAATTCACTGAGATTCAGCAGCTTAGTGTTTTAGAAGGTTCTCCTATAACAATTCTTCCTTGGTGATTTTAAGATTTGGGATTGTATTTTGAAAACTATACATACAGTGGAATGGAGTCATGTTAGGGGAGGGATCTGGAAGCTTCTCTACAAGACACGTGTGTAATTTTCACCATTCAATCTTTATGGAGAGATGGTGGTGCTTTATACACATTTCCAAAGAAAATCCTGATTTAATCATGGCCCAGTGCCCTGCTACCCAGCACCTTCAAGCAGTAGCTCCTGTCTCAAAGCATTTTCATTCATGTCCTATTCTAAAGTCTTTTTTTAGGGCATCCCTACTTGCTATGTTTAACTTTAGAGTCCAGTAGAAATCCAGTGTGAATCTTTGGTTCTTTGTTTACTCTATTACACCTGACTTAACCAAAAATGGTTGAAGAGAAATGTCCCGTATGTGAATTATCTGCTATGTGGGCTGTTCACGACCTTGCTTTTAACCATTTCTGCCGCACACCCCTGCAGCAACGCTCAGGCTGTGATGTTTCTAATTTCCCACTTTGTTGAAACTCAAACAAGCTCTGCAGTGTCCTCCCCTTCCCCACCTTTTATTTAGCCTCATGCTGTTGCACTGAACACACTCTTGCTTTGCATGTTCTGTTACTGGCTCTGAGGAAGCACACCTCTTTTACACAGAGCACCTCTAGTGAAATGGACTCCTTCCATTTGATATTCTTACCCCGGATGATTTGGATATAGTTTCCTACAAAAATAGAATCACCTCTCAGGCTAAATGGGAGCCTGAAAAATGAGACCTGGGGGGGAAATGTGGAGTCATTTATGAAATGGGATGCTTAAGTGTAGGTTATTAAATTGTGTGAGGGTTGATGGTGAACTGCTGGTCTAGATTCTTTGTCCCTTGTCAGAAATTCATTTTAAAACTCAAGGAGGATCTTATTTTACATGAAATCTTGGCTTAACTAGGACCAAATGTCCTGAAAATAAGTATCAGAGACTGCTGGCCATATTGGTAGACTGCAAAATATTCCGCAGATTGTCTCTTAAATGCTATTTCTCCTCCTCTAAGGGTTTCCAGGCTGAAGTACCTGACACAGTAAAGGTGAATAAAGAGACAGGCGCATATACACACCACACACACATGCACACACACGCACACACACACACACACACACTGAGGAAAAAAGAGAACTATAAAAAAAAGCCATGACAGTTGCCAAAAATGTAATTTGATACAAATAAGACTAAGAAAAAGCACACAATCTGTATGACACATGTTAAACGTGAATTTTATATCACTGAGTACATGGAATGGTTATGTTCTTTGGTGTAGTGTTCTGAGGAAAATGCAGATCTTAGTGAGCAACAGCATATAAGATCATTCTCATTTAACCAAAAGCTGGAACTGGAAAATATTTTCTTCCTTGCTCTCTAAATTTTATTTTCTTTGGTCTTTAAACTGGTGCAAAGTAAAGTTTTACAATTTGCATAATTTCTATTTTACCTTGACCTATGTTTTTTTACTTTCCAAAATAATCAACATTAGAGGATGACCCTTTTCCTCACCAAAATAAATAAGTAAATAAATAAGTAAAATAGTAAGTCCTCAGATTTAAGAAAGTAAACATCTCATAGAAAAATATTCTGATTTAAATGTGACTTAATACCCACTAGAAACAGATCTAGAAGTTTCATCCTCATCTTTCTCCCAAGTTTAATGAGGCAATGTTATCTGCTTTTTTTGTAAGTTTCCATGGCAAACCTTTTCAGAATGCACCTCTGGATAGCAAATTTTTTGTCTGTTAAGATAGTTATGCCAGACACTTGAACCAGCCTTCCATTTCTTTTTGTGTGGTTATTAACATAAGACATTCCTTTCAAATAGTAAAGTGTCCTAGGCTCACTTCTCTCTTAAACTTAGACTCCCCTGCCCCTTTTTGCTTATCCTAGTCTTCAAAAGACTTTTTTGGGTTAATGCTAGTGCTTCTCATACATCAGTTAAAGGTATTAATTGCAAGATGAGTCTGTTTTTAGATGAAATCTTTGAAAAAATATGTCATCTCCAAGCAGTGCTCTGGTACCCCTGTATCTCCATAACTTTAATTAAATGTCAAGGGCAATTATGTTCTGTCTAGCAATTAAATAATCTTAAGTGTATATGACAGCTGCAAGCAATAGGTATTTGAAATATGTATGACCACTTTTTAAAAATAAACCATATCATTTATTTTGTTTCATGTACATCAGAGTCTAGTAATTCAGGTAAAATTTTCCTTTCCCTTAACTCATATGCTAATTTATAATTGTAATATCATAGAAGTGGATTATTCACTCATCAGCAAAAAGAATTACAAAGAATGTAGAATGTAAGAAGAGTCTAGTTTTCTTTTCTAAAATATGAAATTAAACAATATATTGCCCAGTGTGCTATAGCTAAATAAAATTATCCAACAACAAAGTTAGTTAACAGCCTGAAACTTAAGAATAAAATAAATAGAGCTTGTGAACATATACCAATAGAATTAAAATATATAACATATACTTAGAACTGTTCCAGTATGTATACCATTATCTTCTGTCCTCTTAATTTTTTTTTCATTTTGGGAAGATCATAAAGCACACTTTGGTTTACAGAGATGGAAACATCAGCAGTAATTTCAACAATGCTAGTGCTGTCTTAAGCAAGCCATTTACTATCCATAAGTGATAGCTGACCCAGGGGGAGAAAGTAAAGTTTTCTAAACCTTTATATAAACTATTTCATAAATTACTGTAGTATAAGCTAGTATTTCCCTTACTTCTTTCCCAATTTTATTTTGTAGATTTCTCATAAACTTTTATTATTTTAGGAGAAAATTAATTCACACTGTCAAGGTGGCAAAAAATATTACTACAGATGTCTTGACTTGGAGATAGAGAAAATTTTTCATATAAATTCATTTTTTTACTTGTTCTTATTTTCCACACTCATAATTTTATTTCTGACATTTAATTGAGGGAATCCAAAGTCTTCCAGCCAAATGTTTACCACCAACCCTAAAACAAATTTATTTAAAGTATCTACTAATTTTTGTCAATAGCAATTGGACTATTTGTTTACTTATAACTTAATCTTTTTGGAAAAAACAAAAGGATCTGCACATTCATAGCACAGAAGCCACAGGGGCTGAAGGGCCATTAGCTTTCTAAATACTCTATGGAGTCAGTTTATGCTTCACTACTCTAACATTATTGCTGAGGTTTTTCTTTGCAATACATTCTTTTTGTGGCATTTGTTATGCATTGTAGAGGCTGTATTTTGAAATATGAATTAAGTTGGAAATAAAGAGGTCCCATTTAAGAGGTATAAAATTGAACCACAGGTATGCCTGTCACAAAACATTTCTATATAAGAGTTCCCTTTAAAGATATGCACTTCAGTATATGTAATAATTTCTCAGATGTACTAATTTCATGTTGTTTCTGTGAAATCATCAGGGGGGAATTTTGACAGCTCTTTTGATGCAGAGAAGGGTGTTGGAACAATTGTCATCGCAAAACCTTTGGATGCAGAGCAGAGGTCTGTCTATAACATGACTGTGGAAGTCACCGATGGGACAAATGTTGCTGTCACTCAGGTAAGAAGTTACTGAATACCAGGATGTAGAAAGATCTGCTAAAGTCAGGATTGCAAGCAATGAAAACAAGGTCTAGTAAATAGTAAATCATGTTCATAGATTTATAGTGTTCAAAAAATCATTTTAAAGAGCAACATAGAAAAAGGATTCTGTCAATGGTATTGTATAACCTAGCTGCCTCTTTCAAGAAATTGTAATTATTCATGCATGGAATAATGATACACATTTGTTTCTTGATCCTTTACTACATGTTTGTGTCTCTGACAAATTTTCTTGAATTTTCAAAGAGAAAGAAATCTATGTTGTCTGTATAACACACTGAGATTCTTCACCTCCTCATTTTTTAGTCACTGAAAGTTAAAACTGGAGAAAGTACTAAGAGTCCAAATTCACTTTACAGACAAAGGTGGAAGTTCTCCGTTTAATGTGGCAAAGCCTTAATAAAGAACAAGAACTGAGATCTAGATATCTTGTCCTCCCATTCTAGTCTCTATGCCAGTAGATCTTTATCCTGGCTGCATGGTGCAATCGCCTTGTTGGGCGGGGGGGCTCAAAATGCTGATGTCTTGGCCCCATTGCTAGAAAACTTTCTTAAACTTCTGGAGTCCATTTATGCTTCACTGCTAGCATGCACCTTGGCTTGGGGACGTCTTAATTTTGTTTCTCAAATGCATATGAAAGGGCATTTGGAGCCAGAAGGAGCAGGAAAGTTTCTGGCTGAGTTCATTAGAAAAGTTCTGCTCAGTTCATCTTCCTAAGTGACACCAACACAATTCTAGATAACAATATGAGGCAAATTTGCCTTAACTCTAAGATGTTCTGTTTTATTTCTTAACCAGAGACCTACCTAACCTAGTTATGGCAAAGAACTAGCACACATGCATATACTATAATTCTTCTCTTCCTCCTGCTTCTCTCTCATGGCCCCATGATCCCAGAAGGCATCACTAATTCAGCAGGGCTCTTTTCCTTTCTGACCCTAGAAGTGCCCTCAGAATCCTTCTCAACACAATGCTCTAGGTACTGAGAAGGAAGTTTTTGCAAACCTGGAAGAAAGCAAGTGTTGATTTATTTTAAATACGATGTAAGCATTTAAAACTATGCAGTTTTACAAAGGAGAGAGGGAGAATAGTTCATGTGCTTGTTTAGCCAACAGCTTCTTAGCTTGAAGCTGTTTCAAAAATTTGTGACTCTTTTGAGTCTGTTTGTAATTACAGAATGGGGAGAATTTAAAGGAAACAATAGGATTAATTTTAGTGCAGTCCCTTTACTTTTCCTTTAAATATACCCCAGAAAGGGAAATGACTTGGACATAATAAGGCAGCCAGTGTGCAGTATTTCCTGGTCCTCCAGCCTGTGTCCCTTCCTGGTAACCAGAGTGACCATATGACCCTATTTGCTTTAAAGAGTCCCATTTATACCTGTTGCACTGGTGTAATTATTAATAGTACTCATTTAGTCTCAGAATTGCCCCAATTGGGACAATAAATTATATGGTCTTCCTACATAAAACCATACTGCTTGGATTATTTTCAAGATTAATATCTATACACATGGAAAGGACCCTATGCCTGAGGTCCAAGGGACCTGCACAGTCTAAAAGTATCCCCTGAAGATTAATATAACACAACCCACCTGTAGTGTTGCTAAGTCTTTAGTGATAATTCACTTTAAATGTGAATTAAAATTGGATTTTAAAATTAGCCATTTCTTAGCATATGTAACCTCTACTTTTTAAATTCTACTTAAAAGCCCAAAGCATATTTGAATAAAATACAAATAAAGTGTGGAATCATATTCATTCCCAGCCTTTTTTCTACAGTTTTATACCTGTTGAATTAAATGGTATTCAGTGTGCCCAAAATGTTATGAGAACTTGTTCAATATTTTTAGAATGAATATTAGATACTACATATTCAGCAGGTCCTAAATGGAAGGTATTTTGTGTCTATAAAGCACACAACTGATTCATGTTAACCAAAAAAAGAAGAAAAAGAAAATGAAAAAAAGAAAGAAAGAAAGAAAAAGAAGTCAATGAGACCTGTATTTTAGAGTTTCATTAGGACCATTTGAAAAATCATTTAATACCATTTATTGCACAAATATTTTTAAAGTTAAAACTATGGGCTAAGAGCTGTATTAGGTGGTTACAGTAACAGAATTATGTGAAGTTTTTTTGTTTGTTTGTTTGGTTTGGGGTTTGGTTTCAGTGTTTGTTTGTTTGTTTTTGAGACAAATTCTCAGTATGTTGCTAGGGAGGTCTCCAACTCCTGGGCTTAAGAGATCCTCCTGCCCCATCCTTCTACATAGCTAGGACTACAGGCATTTGCTACTGTGCCCAGCTAATGATACCAAGTTTTAAATCCAAATGACTGATATGCCTCATTTTTAAAAACATTAATATGGAAGCATATATTGCAAGACTTTGAATCCATACATTGTTTGAGTACTATGCTTGTTGATTTGATTTAGATTAATATCTAGAATAATTCAGAAGGAGTTCAAGAATTTGAGTGAAATTGTAGATCCTACTTGAATGGGTCAAATAAAGGAAGTTAATAAAGAGTCAAAAGATTTGCTTGCAAACGTATACCAGTCACTCTGTTTCCAGAGCTTCTTCCTTCTTATGAAATAAAAACTAAAAGTTTCCAAAGTATAAATTGTGTGACATTACATTATTACCATCAGAAAACCATCACTGTCAATCGAGCTGTGTTAGACCTGAGTCCCCCACCAACCTCTACAAATTAAGCCTCTCTCACATTTATCAAGGCCTCCCTGGCAGTGGTGACAAGAAGCGTTCTCTGAATTAGTCAACATTTTTTTAGTGTCAGGGACATTTGAACAAAAAGATGTTTGGGCAATAAAAGGCATTTTAGATTTCTTTTAGAAACCACTTATGCATACCCCAATCCGTGACCTTAAGCAATTTAATGATTTCACCAGCAAACAGATATCTTTCTCCATATAACTAAATAAATGTCCTGTAGCCCAAAGACACCTGTTCAGTATTCCTTTGAGAACTTTCTCTCCTTTGTTCATTTAGGATCATAAAACATGGTATGACACAGGCTTCAAATCAGCCATAAACAACATGTTGAATTTTACTTCGCAAATGTCAAATAAATCAGAGCCTCGGGGATTTGGTGTCTACATGTAAACCCTTCCTTCATCTTCATTTTGTCCCACTCTTCCAACTCTCACAGGGTTCTTGTGCCTCAGAGCTACAAAATCTGAAGATGAATAAACATCCTTTTCTTTACTGAGATTGCTGAGTTTAGTACATAATATGAAAAGGACCTGTGAGTTCCAAGTTACAAAGATTTCATAGGGAGTAAGCAGAAGAACAAAGCCTCTCGACATTCGCAGAAACCTCTCAGTGAGATGGACAAAGGCCTCTACACAAAAATTATTACACGCTTTATAATATAGCATTGTACCAGATTGGTCCCATGTCATTGTCTTAGAAGTTCGGAGATGAGCAAGGTTGTCTGGCTTAGAAGGGAAGGATGAGAGAGAAGTGATGCTAACTGCACTGCAGTTGGAGAAGAGATGAAGAATAACAAGAAGCACTGGCTGCTAGAAGTTGACTAACTTCTGGAGAGTATTCAGGCAGAACAAGAGGCTCAAGAAGAGCAGAAATAATGAAGTTCCAAGGAGGAAATATCTACCTTCCTTCCAAACACAGACGACCACTACAAAATGATTTTAGGGAGATTGTGTGCCTAGTTCTCAGACTATGATTTTTACATATCATTTTAGCATGGCAAGGAACCAGGATTCCTTGTAGAAACAGTTAATTCCAGGCTTAGGGCAGGATCCTGGGCATCTTATGCTACTAGAAATGACTAGCGTAATCATGTTAAAAGGTAATAAGGGGCAATTTGAATTGGCTCCTACTAGACAAGATGGGAAACCCATTTAACTTAATTGTTTTATGAGTCAGGTACTATTTATTGCAAGCAGAATGGTCATCCTCCATCTCCCTGAGAAGTTGTCCACATCCTAATCTTTGGGATTATCATGTTATGCAACATGTCAAAAAGAACTTTGAAGATGTACTTAAGGTTACAGATATTAAGGCAGAAAGTGGATCCTGGACTGTCCAGGTTCCAGGTAGGCACAATGTAATTGCAGAAGCCCTGACCCAGTTATTTTTCTCCAGTTGGAGTCAGAAGAGAGGTAACAAATGTGAAGATAGAAATTCTAAGTATGAGATTGTCTTTAGATATTATTAATAGTTTGAATATGAAGGGGCAGCATGACAAGGAATACAGGTGACTTTAAGGGGCTGAGAGAGACTCCCAACTGACAGCCAGCAAAGAATCCAGGACCCTAGTCCTATAACCACAAGGACTATATGCCATCGACAACCTGAATAAACTTGGAACACATTAATCCCAAGAGTGACCAGAAAGGAACACATTTGTGCCAACCCCTTGATTTTGGTCTTGACTTCTGGCCTACAGAACTATGAGAAATAATAGTGGATGTGGTTTTAAACTTCTAAGTTTGTGGTGACTTTTTATGGTAGAAATAGGATACTAATCCACTATTGTCATCCCTGTAAAATAGAGGCAAAACAAAGTTAGATGACTTGAGTATATTGTGGGTTTACAAATAAACAATCAAGTTCCAGAAACTGCTCTTTCAAATACTGCACTATGATGCCTTTCAAAGGCAAAATTAAATCTTTGATTTTTGTTCCAAGGCAGGAGATTTTTACAATGGTTGATTGGAAGACATGATGTCTACTTTCATCATCAGAATGTCTCATAGCCATGCTAGGAAAGATAGCAAAATACCTGATCTCTTCCTAAACTCTACTTCAATAAGATGAGTTATTGACCCTGTTTTACCATATTACACACATTACCAAGGATGAGACATTGTAGATTTTAACAACTTCCCACCTAAATCTACCAACACACTCTGAGCTACTGCATTTTTATAACAAATATAAATGAATCTAGAATAGGGCTCTTCCAAAGGGTCATTGA